GGCCATGCATGATGTCTTCATTACAAAATGTTTATATGTATTAATTCTGCAAGTGAACCTCTGAAATTGGTAGGTGAAAGTATAGTACACAGTACTAAAATTTCTACTAACGGGCATCTTTCCAGACACTTCTTATTCCCTCATCCTTCTTGTTGTTGGATATCTTTTGAAGTGGGATTCCCACATCTGCTGGTCTTCACAGCTTAATGAGTGAAAAGTTAGTACCCATGCAGAGCCCTGTATTTGGTTCTTACCAAATCTCTTGGATTTGTTTGTTCTCAATCAGACCTACTTTCCTCTGCACTTTCTGTCCCTAAGGCAATGCTATAAGCAAGTCTCCCAGTAGTTCATTGGCTATAGTTTCAGATTGAAGGTAGGAAAACTCACTGTCCATCCAGCTTTGCTTGATAGGAAGTTCTCTTTGAGATTATTTTGCCAGAACACTGGGGGAGGGGGGTGAAAATAGAGGAGTGGCACTCTGACCTATAAAACATATATACTACTTTTAATGAAGGGAAAAATAATTGAATTAGTAATAACCTATGGATAATACAATTTAATTTACATACACATATTGTTTATTTCTTGAAATAGCCCAATGAAGCAAATGGCATTAACTCCATTTTAAAGATAAGGAAACCAAGGCTCAGAATGATTAAATAATTTTCCAAGGCTACAGTTCATTGAATGAATGAAATAAGGAATGAATGAATCTCTAGGGAAAACAGCATGGATTGAGTGGATTAAGAGGCTGAGATAGGTCAAGTTTTCAATCCATTTAGCAGTCAATTTACAGAGAGTAAGCTGGTCTGACAGTCACATGGGGTTTATGTTTGGGGGTAGGATGCTGCTGAAGAACCAATGATGACAATTTTAAAAGAAACAAGAATGAATAACAGATGAAACATCATCATGGAATAGAAGAACAATGGTGAGTCAAATGGATGGTTAGGCTTTCACCAAAAACAATTAGCTCTATGGTAAACTTTTCGGCTGCCAGCTAATTTTGAAAAACTTTTCTAGGCTTCGATGAGACAATGTTTGCAAATTAGGACATAGACAAATTGATAGGATATGTAACTGGCAAAAACTGATTTAGGGAGAATTAGAAAATGGAAATTTTGTTCAATAATTTTTAAAGGAATTCAAACAATTATTTAAAAATAGAAAGAAAGAGAGAAACCAAAGACTCACCAGAAATAGAATAGCTTATATGCAAGTGCTGTGAGTTTTAAGGAACTTCCAAAATTGTACAGATGCTTCCACAAATTGAGATGAAGGCATATTCTGCAACTCACTTTCTGAGACAGAATAATTTTGTCAAAAACTTAGAGATGGTATCAGGAAGAAAAATAGTAAGTCTATTGTGTTCAGGAACATAGATTCAAAATGTCTAAGCAAAATATTAGCAAACTGAATCCAGTTCTCTATAAAAATATTAATAAACAGTGTCCAATTTGGGTATATAAAAATATCATAAGGGTGCTTTAATGATACAAAAATATTTAAATATATATTCCCACATTATTGGTTAAATGAGATAAACCATGTTAACATCTCAAGATGCAGCAAAAAAAATTTAACAGATTCATAATAAAAATCCTTACTATAGTAGATAAAAGGAAATTTTATTACCTTATAAAAGATGTCTCTCAAAAAAGAAAAAGAAAATCTGTATGAAAACATCATATTAAATGGGGAAAATATAGAAATATTCCATTTAAATTTAGAAACAAGATAGGAGCATTGCCTATGAATATCCGAATTCAGCGATGTTTTGGAGCTCTGGACAGCACAATAAGAAATAACAATTATAAGGATTGGAGATCACCAATAGTACCATCATTATTGGTATACTATAGTCATGGATGAGGAAACCTAATTAACATTATACGGATTTTATTTGTCCCAAAAGTGGTCTATAGGCTTAATGTTACTCTGATCAAAGTCACAATTGGTTTTTATTTATTTTTATCTTTATTATTGTGGAATAGGACACGTTAACTTTAAAATATATATAGAAAATCAAAGAAGGAATAATACCCTAGATTCTTCATGCTCTGTGAGATATAGACTTACTATAAAACTACTTAAGGAATTATAAGAATGGGGTACTGGTGCAAGGGGGGACAAAATATGAATAAAATAAAACAGTTAAAAAAATTTACTCATATGGAAATCTGATTTATGATGGAGCTTGCATGGTAGGAAGCAGAATTATGTAATAAATAAAAGAAGAGAGATTAAAGATTAAAGAAGAGAGAAAACTTGGTGCACAACAGTCACAGGGAAAGAAAGGAGGGAGGAAGGGAAAAAAGAAAGAGGGAAAAGGAAAGAAAGAGAGGATGGAGGGAGGGGGAAAGGAAGAGGAAGGGAAGCAAATAAAGGGATCCCTACCTCACACCACAACATAGAACTGTTAAAAGTAAAACTGAAATTTTAAAAAAGAGTATACATGAATTATCTTCTGACCTCTGAGTAGGCAAACTTTTCTTACACAATACAGGTCACAGTGCTAACCACTTATGAAAAGGTTGATAAATTTGAATACATTAAAACCAAATCTTGTTTATTAAAATACACGTTGAAGTTAAAAAATTCAATTTGTGTAGAAGATACTTGCAAAAAAGCATTAAAATTAAGAACAAGTAAAGAATTTTTACAAATCAAGAAGAGAAAAAGTAGAGAAAGAAAACAAAAGTCAAGAATAGCCATTTCACAAAAGAGGAAACCCATGAAATTAAGAAGTGTGACATTAAAAGTGTTAGAAAGAATGTACTCAGTCAAATATCTATGTTGAAAATGAATGCATGCATTGATACAACTTTTTGGGGAATCAAAAATTTGCATAAACGTATACCCTACTCTGAAAGTATCCATTGTCCATGAGCACTAGGAAGCACGTCCAATAATGCAGTTTTTATAAGAACATAAACTAACTAATCCAAATGTCCATTGACATGGGTTTAAAAAGGCACACTCACATAAATAATTAGCAGTAAAAATTAAATAACTTCAACTATGCATGGAGAGAACTTCAGGTATCACATGAATGAGTCTTAATAACAATACTAAGTGGAAAAAGCAAAAAGTGAACAGAATGTTGTCTATGGCATGTGCAGGATAACTGAAAATTTAGAATAGTGCTCACTTTTATGGATGAGGAGAAATGGACTGCATAGCAGTCTATGTAAGTTCTAGAAATGTTCTCCCATTGGGGTGGGCAATTGGTACATAGGTACTTAAATTATGAATAATATTATACAAGATATAAGCAAACAAATGGGAAAAAGACTCAAAATATTGCAACATGTCTAACAAAAGGTAAATATCCACAATATAATACCTAAGGAAATACGTGAAAGTTTGATATTCTAAATATTCATGGCTCTTAATATCAGGTGGTGGGGTTTTAGTTAATTTTTATACATTTCTATTATGTTTATGCATTATTTGTATTACTTCAACAAAATGTTTTTCTAATAATGCTAATTTAAATGAAAAACAACACTCATAATATGTAGAATTTATAAGATAATAATAAAAGACAACTCAGTGGAAAAGATGGGCAAGAGTTTGAAGATGCAGTTCACAGAAGAGATCACATACCTGTAAACCTACAAAAATATGCTCAACCCACTTGCAAACAGGAATGTGTGATTTTACAATAAAAACATAATTTGATTTTTCATTATTATTGAAGAAATATCATAAAGTTGTTTACATGTAGTGTTTTGGATTTGACAGAAATTGACACATCTTTTATAGCAGGAGCTGTTCATAGAGTAGTATCATGGTATAGTGGATTTCCCTTCTAGAAGATTAACCTTCAAAACATATGCCTATGTTCACATATATGTACTTCAAATAGTGTTAACTATAATACTTATTTTTTGTAATAGTGAAACCCTAGAATTAGTTTAACAGTACCTGAAGAGAAATGGTTTATTTGATCACACAATGAATACCTTATGCAATACATTTACTTATTTTAAATCATGATGCAACATTGTATGAGCTGACACAGAAAGATCTCTTAGACATTTTTAAACTAAAAAATGCGCACAAATTAACAGGATGTATAGCATGATCCTATTCATGTTAAAAATATGTGTATAATAAAATTCATATGTAAATATATAGAAAAATTTCTTGGATGACTGCATATTATATTACTACCAGTGGTTATTCCTGGGCAAGGGAGGTAAACAGACACATTCCACATATTTCTGTCTTGTTTCAATTCTTTTTTATTGCAAGAAAATAGGCATGTACAGTTGCATAACTGGCTGTGTTACCTGCCTTTTTAACTTTCTCCAAGGTAGTTTGCTTTAATAAGCATAGTGCTATATGCAGTAGCAACAGAAGCTATGGGCACCCAGCAACTAGGCTTGAGTGTTCCGAGGTAGCAGACACTGAGGGCCATGTTGAAAGACAAGTGGAAGGCTGGCTCCCATTTGCAAATTCTAAGTCAAAGGAAACACTGAAACAGAACCCCAAAGCAGTGTGATCAATTTCTTCCAGTAATGGAAAAGGCTGAAAACTCTCAAAGACATATTTGCTGGCAGAATAGTTGTATTTATGTAATGACTCAAAAGAGAATTTTTTCAATTCAATAATTGAATCTCAATTATTCAATGAAATGTTGTAGTAAATGTCACTTTGGATTATATGTGAAATGCAGATCACATATAATCAAAATGAGAATATTTTAATACAAGTTATTATAATGTATTAGTTTTGTTTTTTTAAACTTGAGTTGAAAAAAGAAAAAATAAAATATATTATCTAATATATGTTTAAATCAAGATGTTAATTCTTTAATTTTAGAATTTTATTCTAAATAAGAATTTAATATTTTTCAATAAAATTGTTGAGATTCTCTTACAGTTCTCATCAAATAAAAATGTCTTTTATTAGATAAAATGCTAAGAAAACAAAACTTTACAAGTCTGAACTTTAAAGTATCAATCATGTGCCATAACGTGCTTATTTTGCAGGTTAAACTTTTTCCGTGATGTTCCTGATTTCAGAGTGTTAGCCTGTGGTGGAGATGGAACCGTGGGGTGGATTTTGGACTGCATAGGTAATGAAGACACATACTTAACATGGCTGGGTTGAGAGTGGTAACCTAAAATTCTGTATATTTTATTTATTTTATTAATGCATTGATATCTTTGGATGCTACAGTGATATAATTGGATACCTGGCATTGTTGCACATTACTTACTGGTTTAATGTGTTTTCTATATTTCAAAGTTTTAATTGACAAAATAATTTGCAAGTATCTAAAAATCTTTCTTTTTTAATCTGCTTCTCGTGGAACTTACTAAACCCTCAGAGCTATTTTCAAATCAGGCTCTACAAATTCCATTTGTTTCTTTGACCTCGGGAGGGAGCCAAAGGGAATCTTAGAATTTGTGATAAAATTTATGTCAAATAGACGTGCTTATTTTATTTAAGCATGGCACCTCAAAACCTTACCCTCTGTGGACATTCTTATCATATGCATCCATCATTATTATTACCATACCTATTTTTTATTTATCATGTACTCTCTCATAGATGTTGTGCTAAGATTTTTACCCCCTCCCCGATTCATCTTAATTCTCACAACTCTGTGACACAGTATAGATAATCCTATTTTAGAGAGAGGCTCTAAGGTGCGGAGAAGTTAAATAATTAGAATGGAGTCTGAAAGCTGTAAATTGACAGAACTGGGATTAGAGCTCATCCTTTAACCTTAACCTAGATTGCTTCTCTCTTGACATTTTTACAACTTCATTTTTATAAGCAAACAAAGCAGATACATGACTGAGGATAAAATGTAGAATGTATCACAAAATATTGATGATTTAGAAATATTATCAGGTTTTTCAGAGACAGTCAGCTGTCAGAAGTGATTACTAAGCAGTAAAATGATCATGAATTGGCCTTCATTAGGAGATAAATCCCAAACAAATATCCATTTCTTTATTGACTAATTCTTTGTTAAAAATGGCCCATTTCAGGGCACCTGGGTGGCACAGTTGGTTGAATATCCAATTTTTGGTTTTGGCTCAGGTCGTGATCTCAGGGTCCTGAGATCAAGCCCCGTGTTGGGCTCTGCACTTAGCTTAGAGTCTGCTTGAGATTCTCTCTCCCTTTCCCTCTGCCCCTCCTGCTCATGCTCGCTCTCTCTCTCAAATAAATATATTTTTTTTAAATGGGCCCTTTTACAAAAGGGAAATAATTTGTTCAAAATAAGTTTTACTGCCTATATAAATTGAAACACTTTTATTTAGTTAATGCAGGTGAGTGTATTCTATCTTCTCATGCACACAAAAGTATTCAAATTAAAAGTAAATACATGTTGTCAGCACACTTTTGGTAAGCATCTTACGATTTTAGTCTGCTAACTTTCTTTTTTTAAAGCAACAGTGAAAATTGTGTTCTTTGGCCTTCCAATAAAAGATGTAAGTAGTATAATATGCAATATCTAAGGAGAAAATCAGAATTCAGAAACTGCAGAAATTAGAGTGCTTGAACAGAGTCTGAATACTTGTGAGAATTTTAGTGAAAATGGTAGGATATTAGGAGTTTATTTTAGCTCACATCTAAGCCTTGGCTATTACACCATGACACATCCATCCCTAAATAATCTGTTCCCTCCCCATTCTTCCACATAGGCAAATACTCACTTTGAGGGGCTGAGAAAGTAGAAAAAATGAAGAAAATAATATATGCTTGTGAGAGTCATTCAAGCCATGTGATGGCTTAAACAAAACTATGTGGGGGCGCCGGGGTGGCTCATTTGGTTAAGCATTAACTCTTGGTTTTGGTTCAGGTCATGATCTCAGGGTTGTGAGATTGAGCCCCGCATGGAGCTCCATGCCCAGCAGGGAGTCTGCTTGAGGTTCTCTCTCTCCCTCTGCCTCTGCCCCTCCCCCAACCCTCCTGCTTGTTCATGTGCGTGCGTGTGTGCGCTCTCTCTCTCTCTCTCTATCAATATAAACAAAACCATGTGGAACTTTGGGGTGCCTGGGTGGCTCAGTCAGTTAAGCATCTGCCTTCAGCTGAGATCATGATCCCAGGTTCCTGGGATGGAGCTCTGTGTCTGGCTCCCTGTTCAGTGGGGAGTCGGCTTCTCCCTCTCCCTCTGCTCCTCCTGCCCCTGCTCTTGCGCTCTCTCTCAAATAAATAAATAAAATCTTTTAAAAAATGTGGAATTTCAATGGTAATGATCTTTACTGCTCTGAGCCCAAAGCATTATGTTCTGTAAAGCTTAATCTCAAAGAAAACCTGCTGATCTCAGAGTTACCCAGTTCTTACATTGCTTACTCTGACCCAAAGCAGCACCATGAGTAGGAACAACACAGTGAAACATTTTTAGAATTTTACTAGCTTTTAGAGTTTGATTTTTCAAAATATTTTATTCCTTAAAGTGAAATGCACCTAGAGTTGGTGTTCCAAAAGAACTTTTTATAGGAACCCACACCTCAACTTTGGTGATGTCCCTCTAGTATATTCTTATGATGCATATATATGCGTCCTTGAAATTTCCATGATGTTAAATCCACAACAATTTTTTTAAAAAATTTTATTTATTTATTTGAGAGAGAGAGAATGAGAGAGAGAGAGAAGCACATGAGAGGGGGGAGGGTCAGAGGAAGAAACAGACTCCCTGCTGAGCAGGGAGCCCGACGTGGGACTCGATCCCAGGACTCCAGGATCATGACCTGAGCTGAAGGCAGTCGCTTAACCAACTGAGCCACCCAGGCATCCCAAATCCACAACAATTTTTAACTGAGTTAAGATTCTATTTTATTTTTTAAAGAATTTATTTATTTATTTGTCAGAGAGAGAGCGTATGCATACAAGCAGGGGGAGTGGCAGGCAGAGGGAGAAGCAGGCTTCCTGCTGAGCAGGGGGCCTGATGCAGGGCTTGATTTCAGGACCCCAGGATCATGACCTGGGCCAAAGGCAGACACTTAACCGACTGAGCCACTGAAGCATTCCCTGAGTTAAGATTTTAAAGATTCAGACATGAATCTTGAAAATTCCTATCACTTCGTGAATTATGGTATTCATCTGTGTTTTATAAATTGCTACAAATACATACAAAGTAATCTTACTTTCTAATTGTATATAGCTATAAAACATAACTTTTTCTGTTTTTATGTACCTAGTGGAATGCCTTCATTTCATGCCAAGCTGTCATTTCTACTGTTGTTCCATCTGTGATCAAAATTTTATTTTAATTTTTGATTCCACAGAAAAGGCTAATGTTGTCAAGCATCCTCCAGTTGCTATTCTGCCTCTTGGGACCGGCAATGATCTAGCAAGATGCCTGCGATGGGGAGGAGGTAAAACAGCTAATGAAAATCTTAAAAAACAGAAATACAGTACAGAGTATTTTCCCCAAAAAACTAAGCCCATCATTTTTAATATATGACAACTGCCATGTGAATTTAGCAAATATAATTGCTGTGAGAGATATAGTATATAATTTTGAACAATAGTCTGGGGTAGAGAAGGAAATAATGGACAAGGAGCTAGACTGTGAGTGCTGGCCTTTAATCTGATACTAATTATAGACTTGATGGGGCAAGGCAACTTTCTAAACCTCCTTGATTTGGGGTTTCTAACTTAAAAAATGAGATAAGCATGGATTAAATCTAAAGTAATGTTCAGATTTTTAATCTCTGAGTTGTGTAGTAACATCACTAACAAAGAAAAAAATTGAAAGGCTAATGAATGACTTTTCCAGGAATGAATACATTAAATAACATTTATTTTTTGAGACCCACTTTATACCAAGTGGGTATGTTCTATTCTTGGGGTAGAGGGTTAAGGACAGAAAACAAGGTCTACCTTCAAAGAGGCTTTGAATTCTTGTGGCACATAAAGTCATAAGTAAATTGTGAGACTTCCTGCTAACAAGTAAACCTATAACCAACATAACAAAAGGTCTCTTGGAGGAAATAACTAGATAACATAGGGAGAACCCTAATGGATGGAATAATTACAGCCATATAGAACTGAGGGTAGACTTTAGAGGCAGAAAGAATCTCAAGTAAGAGGCCCAGAGGTAGGAAGCTACTTGACATACTCAAGGAACTCAAAATGGAATAGTGTGGATGAAACAGGGTAAGGGGGGAGTATTTTAAAAGGTCTTAAAATAATTTGATGTATCATTAATAGGATCTACTTACCTGAAGATGCCAAAGAAAAGAAAACCAGATTTTGCTAAAGAAGCCAGAATTGAAACTAAGTAACTTTAGCTTAGAGTTTAAAAAGTGTCTACTTAGAGAAGTTTAAAAAGTGTCTACTAAGACAGTGTGAATGAGAAGTCCTTGGGGAGCTTGTTGAAAATACAGTGTCCTGACCTCACCCCAAATATGCTGAATGGAAATCTCTGGGGTGGACCTGGACAGATGATTTTCTTTTTAAACAAACTCCCTAAGTAACTCTGATTTACAATAAAAATTTGAGAACAATTTTTCCATGAGTATCAGACCAACTGGTAAACTCTAAGCTGTGTTTTGTATATGTGTATGTGTATGTATGTGTATATGTGTATAACCGACAGAGTTGGAGACTAAGTTAAAAACTTGATATATGAAATATTTATAATTTTCATTAAGGGTATAAATTAGTAAAATAATATCACGAAACACTGAGTTAAATCTCATAGAATCTAAAGACACACAGACAGATGGATAGAACCATTGCTTATAAGATGCTTATATTTGCTAGTGCTTACATATCTATATTGATTAAAAGGAAGAGAATCACGCATGTGCCTTCTTGTGTATTCTTTTGAAAACTATTTTTGATATTTGAAAATTAATGGTTTCATTTAGATTCCAAACTCATAAATGGCTCCAATCTCAAAATTGACATGGAAGTTCCATTTGGGTCATCTTCTAATGATTTTCTTATGAAACAGTTTAAGATATATTATTATCGGTAGTCAAAGACACACAAATTGTAGTATATGCCAAAGCAGATATTATTAAAAAACTCTCTGTCTGTGCCTTGCATGTGTTGACACTGTTTTACGTCCTGGATTTAGAGTGAAAAAATAAATAAAATTCCTACCTTCTAGAGATTATGTTTTAATTGAGTACATAGGTAATAAATCAGTGAACAATAAAATATATAAATACAAAATAAGATCAAAGCTATGTAAGACTCAAACGTATTTAGAGAATAGTAGAGGGGAACTATTCAGCTAAATGATCTAGAAGCCCTCTCCAAGGAAGTAACATTTAAGCTAGATTTAAAATGTAAGGAAGGAAAAATAGCTTCTGAAATTGAAAGGGCTCAAGGAAGGCTGATGTGACTCTTTAATCATCTGGGAGGCAGCGGGTAGGTAGGGAGTGGGGGTGGGGGAGACAGTGACTAGTATGAGATTGGAGAGGCAATCAAGAGCCAAATAATGCAGGGGCTTTATTTGATTGAATCTGAAGCACAAAGTGAAGCTTGGAAAGAGTTTCAAAAGCAGCATGATACAGTGACATTTATGTTTTCAAAAATAGATTAATTGGGAGGTATAAAATACACTGAAGAAAATGAAGAAATTGTGAAAATGTAGAGGATCATAGTTTTCCAAATAACTTGTGTTACAGTTTTTCTAATTAGAGAATGAAGGGATTGGACCAGGGTGGTGGTAATGGAAATGAGACAAGTAGACACAGTGGAGTTCTATTTTTAGGGAAGGACTGGTAGAACTTGTCCCTGGATTGGAGAGGGGCTTTGGGAAAACCAAGGTCTTAAGGGGGACTGCAAGATGCCTAAGTTGAATGATTAGGAAAACGCAGATGCCATTTGATAGAGTTTATTAATAAAGAAACATGCTGTGAAGTGTGATTATTTCTTGCCAGGTGTGTAACTAACTTTGAGCAAGTTGCTTACCAACCGTGGGCTTCAGATTCCTCATTAGAGCTTGAAAAAATGATAGTACCTGCCTTGTAGGTTCTTATACCAAACCATCAAATTGTTTGCCTAGTGTTTGTGCTGAGTATATATTTGTAGCAAGTGTCATCATGCTTAGCACTGGGGAAAGAAAGGACTTTATTCCACCAATAATCATTTGGTTCACTTTAGGTCACTGGAATATATTGATTGGAAGCTTATTTTTTTACAAGAATATATTTGGGAAAATACAACACTGTGAGAATGTAGGATGTCCTAGGGCATTTGCAAATACTTAATTTACATTCTCTTTGCAATTTTTCTAGTACTAATTAGTCTAAAATCTAAGATTATTTCAGGAAAAATATTTCATGAAGAGTAAGAGTTTTAGATGGAGCACACACTGACAAATCTGTATTGTTGCTTTCCTTTATGTGACTTTCCTTTTTAAAAATTTCTGTGGCTTTTTAGATAGATTCGGTAATAACATTGTATCATTAAATAGAAAATAAATACTAATTATGTTTTTATTTTGTTTCTTAGCCTAGAGGGATTATAGGTTTAAATCAAAATAATGGAAGCAAAATAACATCATTCTTTTCTGGGAATAAGCTTTTACTTCTATATTTAGTAAGTTTAATATGTCTTTTTTTAAAAAATATGATCTTGAGTTTTGCAATCCTATTTATAGCTGTGAATCATTATGTAACAAGCTTGAGCATAGATAAATACAAGTAGGGTGTAGGTATATGTTAAATTTGGGGACTACAATTTGGAATTTGTCATCTTTGTAGATTAGCTCTGACCTGCAGATGCTGTGAGTCTCAAAATAGATTTATGGCCTATCTTTTTCCATTTTTATTTGGCTAGAAGGCTAATTGATATTAACCTCTTTCATACTTATCCATAAAAACTTAGACAACATAACCAGTGCTAAAGATTTTAAGGTGAGTGGCACTAGTAGAATCTAGCTGTGGTAATTAATTTTCACTAAATCCATTCCTACTTTGTTGTCTCCTGGTCAGGTGCTGTTTTTACATTTTTCTAGTGTTGTAATGAACCATGCTGCTATTAACTTGGATGTAGCTAGGGACAAGCTTAAAATTTTACTTAAATAATTATTATTTGCTTGTATATCTGCTGAATGCATATATATAAATATCATATTATATTTTATTATATATTACAGTGTACTTCCATGCTATATTATACTATATTACATTAGTATGTGTAAATCCATTTATGTCTGAAAATCATCATACTTATTTTCAAATGAGTAGAATTTGTAAAAGAGGTGAATATACTTAACTTTTTTTATTCAGATCAATGAGGAAAACATAAAATGTACTTGGAGGCTAATATTTATTATTTTTAAAAGAAATTAAAAATTTAGAATTGAACTTTGAGAATGAGGGTAGAACTATTAAAAATGTGAAATATACGTAAGTTTATTATAATCTTGTACTTTAAATAATTCAGTGTTTGTATTGAGTACAATTATACACAAATTATTATGTATATTCATAGTTTTTGAATTATGCTACAAAAATGCAATTGAACATTTATTAAAATACTATTTGGTACTTTTAATGCTTATATCTGCCTAGTCATTGTTTGTTGTACTCTTTGTTGTATGTATTAACTAGTACATGACTATTTTATCTGTGTAAGATAAAAAATAATGGTGGGTGCCTAAATAGGCACTCCCAGATTCTGGCTGCCTTGAATTTCTAATAATTCAACTAATACATCATGAATGTAATTTATTTATCTTTAGAGAATGTTCACATATTACAGTGCCTCTTCTTTTTTTCCTCTAACCCAATTAGTTTTTCCAGCGTTATGTGTGCTAACACCTCTAATGAGGACTCATAGCCTCTGGCATTTACTTGTTCAATGAATACATTATTAAAATATAGACCAAAGTTGGACACAGAAAAAAAAAAAATCTATGAAAATATTGTTCCAACTCAAAATATCAATTCAAGAATGTGTGTGTATGTCTGTGTGTAGAGTTAGAGAGATATTATTTAACTTAGTACAATAATTCAAATTCTGTTATCATTATATGGTTAAGAACTTTCTACTCTTATGCCTCATGTACTAAGAACTTTTACGCATTTTCTCATTTAATTCTCACAATAAACAGAAGTTTTTACAGAGGAGGACACTATTTAGGGAGGTTAAAAGCAAACATTAACACAACCAGGATTAGGCTACAGTTTGGACTATAATGTTATAGCAACATATTTAAGAGAAAATATTAATATTCAGGAATACCTTTATTTTCAGGCCATGTTGATTATCTGCAGTAGATCCATTAAAACTAGATTTGTTGAGCATTTACTCTAGGGCAGACCTGGTAAAAGAAACTTGTAGTGAGAAAGATACGAATAACTATAATACAGTGTACTAGTTTTTAGGTAGGGCTAGTTTGGAGAATTGTGCACTGTGGAACTGTAGAGAATCCATTATTTTGGGAGGGTGGCTTCTGGAAAGAAGTGCTATCAAATATAAAACTTGCAGCAGGAACAGAAGCAAGGCAACCAAAAGAAAAGGGATACTCTGGATATATAGAATAAGAGATGAAATGCCACAAAATGAAAAAGAGAAGGACCTTCAATTTAAACAAAAATTGTTCAGTATCAATAGAGGGTAAAGTGTGAGGATCATTGAGGAATGGAAAGGGACAAGTCTAAAATCGCATCCAAGCTTTTTACTTCCATAATTGGGTAGAGGGTGTTGCCTGTCTGAAAGAGAGTTAACAGTAAGAAGATATGGAAGCATTTATTTTTGAATACATTGATATAAACTTTTATGAGGGTATGCAGTGGAGATGTTCACTTGGCATTTGACTATACTGAGAATTGGCACCACGAGAGAGAAGTATGAGTTGCAAATTAAAGCTAAAAATAAAATATTTGTATGAGCTCACAATTATAGTTAATTCTTTATGTGTGTTAGAATTTGCTGTAAGATGTGTTGTTTGGCTTTAGAGTGAGACATCCATATACACACACTCAAACACATATAAATACAGCTTTTGCTATTTGGTTATATTTTTTCTCAAGATAATTTTTTTTTCATTAGGTTATGAAGGTGAGAATCTGATGAAAATCCTAAAAGACATTGAAAACAGCACAGAAATCATGTTGGACAGGTGGAAGTTTGAAGTCATACCTAATGACAAAGATGAGAAGGGAGACCCAGTGCCTTACAGTATCATCAATAATTACTTTTCCATTGGCGTGGTAAGACTTTGCACTAACTATTCTTTTAACCAGTCCAAAATAATCACTGTGTTTAAACTCTTATACTACAAAGATTTACTGATTATGAATAATTTATTTTATTTTTGTGTCAACAAAACACCTCTTTAATGCGCAATAATAAAGCTTATATGCATAAGCTTTTATTCAAAGTCAGAAAATCAGCAATAAATAAATTTTTCATGCATTAAACAAAAGAAAGAAACTTTTTTTGCAATTGTTTGACTATTTGTGTTACTAAAGTAAAGGGTAGAATGGTTTGTAAGATACTTGTTTTAGAATATAGACTAAAGCTCCACATAAAAAGTTGAAATGTGAAATTGATTCATCAAATTTTATGTTATTTTGAGATATGTATTCAAATATTATAACCAATTAGGTTTTTACAAATAGACATTATTTTAAAATTTATGGTTAGGTCTGAAGTCTAAGAAAAATGCTACTATGATTCTCAAGTGCTTAATAAGTCAAAGGGATAACTTTTCACTTAATTTCTTGAAAAATCTTAGACTGAAAATAGAATATCATTTGGCAATTGAAATAGTTTTTGTAATTTTAATCCCTAAGAATTAATAATTTTAACAGTGATTTTATATATGTGTACATATATTTTACCTGGTAGTTATGAATTCTTAAAATATATTGTGTACAAAATTGTATTCCATTTATCACATGTTGCTCAATATTAATCTCATGTATTTCTCTGTCATGTGCACGTGCGCGCGCACACACACACACACACATAACTAGTAGATTATAAAAGGCACTGATTGAATTCATGAACTTAGGAAGTCAAGCTACCTGGAATAATACTCTATAAAAATAATACCCTAAATATCCTAGGCTAAGGTATTATTTTTCTCTCATTGTTACAAATAATTTTTTTTCCTTTTTCTTACCTTTGTTTTTTTAATTTTATTTTATTATGTTATGTTAATCACCATACATTACATCATTAGTTTTTGATATAGTGTTCCATGATTCATTGTTTGCATATAACTCTTTAATACCCATCACCAGGCTAACCCATCCCTCCACCCCCCACCCCTCTAGAACCCTCAGTTTGTTATTCAGAGTCCATCATCTCTCATGGTTCATCTCCCCCTCCAACTTCCCCCCCCTCATTCTTCCCCTCCTTCTATCTTCTTTCTTTCTTTCTTTTTTTAACATATATTGCATTATTTGTTTCAGAGGTACAGGAGGTGTCTTTGGGTCTACAATGAGTCTCTTGCAGACAGTATATCGACGGGTCTTGTTTTTTTATCCAATCTGATAACCTGTGTCTTTTGATTGGGGCATTTAGCCCATTTACATTCAGGGTAACTATTGAAAGATAGGAATTTAGTGCCATTGTATTGCCTGTAAGGTGGACTGTTATTGTATATTGTCTCTGTTCCTTTCTGGTCTTTGTTACTTTTAGGCTCTCTCTTTGCTTAGAGGACCACTTTCAATATTTCTTGTAGGGCTGGTTTCATGTTTGCAAATTCCTTTAGTTTCTGTTTGTCCTGGAAACTTTTTCTCTCTCCTTCTATATTCAGTGACAGCCTAGCTGGATATAGTATTCTTGGCTGCACATTTTTCTCGTTTAGTGCTCTGAATATATCATGCCAGTCCTTTCTGGCCTGCCAGGTTTCTGTGGTTAGATCTGTTGCCATTCTAATGTCTCTACCATTATAGATTGTAGACCTCTTGTCCCGAGCTGCTTTCAGGATTTTCTCTTTGTCTTTGAGACTCGTAAGTTTTACTATTAGATATCGGGGTGTTGACCTATTTTTATTGATTTTGAGGGGGGTTCTCTGTGCCTCCTGGATTTTGATGCCTGTTTCCTTCCCCAAATTAGGGAAGTTCTCTGCTATAATTTGCTCCAATATACCTTCTGCCCCTCTCTCTCTTTCTTCTTCTTCTGGGATCCCAATTATTCTAATATTGTTTTGTCTTATCTCTTGAATTCTTCCCTCATGATCCAGTAGTTATTGATCTCTCTTTTTCTGAGCTTCTTTATTTTCCATCATTTGGTCTTCTATATCACTAATTCTCTCTTCTGCCTCATTTATCCTAGCAATTAGAGCCTCCATTTTTGATTGTACCTCATTGATAGCCTTTTTGATTTCGACTTGGGTAGATTTTAGTTCTTTTATTGCTCCAGAAAGGGTTTCTCTAGTATCTTCCATGCTTCTTTCAAGCCCAGCTAGTATCTTTATAAGTCATTCTGAACTCTATTCCTGACATCTTACTAATGTCCGTATTGATTAGGTCCCTGACAGTCAGTAATGGCTCTTGTTCTTTTTTTTTTGAGGTGATTTTTTCCATCTTGTCATTTTGTCCAGAGGAGAACAGATGAATGAGAGAACAAAATGCTAACAGGGTAACAACGACCCCAGAAAAATATACACTAAACCCTTCAGAAGAGACCTGACACCAGGGGAAAAGAAAGGAAAAGAAAAAAGAAAAGAACGAAAAAAAAAAGAAAATAAAAAGAATATGATCAAATATAATCAGGCTGGTGAATAGATCAGTGCCACACACTAGATTTTGGGCGTATTTTGGTCTGTTAGGAGAAACTGCCTCCCAAAATTTTAAAGAAAGAAAAACTTATATATGTACAAAAATAAGGGTAAATACGATGAAGGGATGAAATATGAATGTAAAGATGAAAATTATAAAAGATTTTATAAAAGGAATTGATAAGAAATTGGTTGAGGGCGCCTGGGTGGCTCAGTTGGTTGAGCGACTGCCTTCGGCTCAGGTCATGATCCTGGAGTCCCGGGATCGAGTCCCGCATCTGGCTCCCTGCTCGGCGGGGAGTCTGCTTCTCCCTCTGACCCTCTTCCCTCTCGTGCTCTCTATCTCTCATTCTCTCTCTCAAATGAATAAATAAAATCTTAAAAAAAAAAAAAGAAAGAAATTGGTTGAAAAAAGAAGGAAGAGAAATTAAAAAAAAAAAAGGAGAGAATGTGATCATGGAGGAGACTAGAACAAAGCCATACCCTAGAGATTTAGGGTGTTTTGGTCTGTTAGAAGCAACTGTATCCCAGATTTTAAAGAGAGAACAACTTATATATATACCAAAAATAAGGTTAACTACTATGAAGGGATAGAATATGACTCTAAAAATGAACAAGAAAAAAGATTTTAAAAAAGGGATTGATAAGATGTTGGTCAAAAATGGAAAAAGAAAAATTCAAAAAAAAATAGAAAAAGAAAAAAAAAGAAAAATTAAAAAATTAACTTTGAAAGACTAAAGAATCAGGCGAAAAAAAGCCATGAATTCTACATGTTGTATTCCCCTAGTGCTGGAGTTCTGCCATTCTCATTGATCGGTAAACTTGGTCTTGGCTGGCTGTTCTTGCTGATCTTCTGGGGGAGGGGTCTGATGCCCAAGAGAACCCAAGAGAAGGGCATTATTCCTAATATCCAAAGACTCAAAACAATCTAAATCTAAATGAGGGTTCCCAAATGTCTTTGCCCGAGGCGGAATTGCCCTGCCCTCGCTGGGGCCAGGCTAAGTAAATCTGCTCGGGTTTGCTCTCGGGAGCTTTTGTTCCCTGCAAGCTTCCGTGCTCCTTTGGAGGATGAGAGTGAAAATGGCGGCCTCCCAATCTCTGCCCCGGAGGAACAGAGAACTCGGGGCTGCTCCTCAGTGCGCCCCCAGAGAAAAGCAGTCAATCACTCCTGTCTTCCCGGTCTCCCGCTGCACTCTGTACTCACCCGGCCTGTGACTGAACGTTTCTATCTCTGGCACCCGACCCCATGTGGAGTCTCCAAACCCAGCAGATCCCTGTGGTGCGCTCTTGCACCGCTCCTCCCAGGGGAGGAAGGGGAGTCTCCCCGGATCTGCTGCTTGTTGGGTCCCTGCTGGAGGAGCAGCGGCCTGACTGGGTCACAGATCACAGTTTATGGCAACCCCGATCTGAGAGCCCACTCCTCGGCTCTGTCTCTGCAGCCAGCTTCCCTGCTCCGACCTGAGCTCTGCCACACTCAGGCACACCCGGTTTTTTTGTGATCCTGAGGGTCCTGAAACCACACTGTCCCAGCGAGGGATCCCCCCCCCCCAACACACACACACAGCCACTGGAGCGATGCCCCTCAGTGGAGCCGACTTCTGAAAGTTAGTTCTGATTTTGTGCTCTGCTGCTCTATCACTTGCTAGTAGTGGCTGATGGAGCGCCCCCCCCGCCATCTATCTCCCCGAGTATGGCCTTGGATTCACTTCTCCTCATGTCCTACCTTCCAGAAAATGGTCGCTTTTCTGTTCAGAGAGTTGCTGCCACTCTTTTCTTCGATCTCCTGTTGAGTTTGTAGGTGTTCAGAATGGTTTGATCCCTATCTAGCTGAATTCCTGGGACCAGACGGAATTTAGGTCTCCTATTCTCTGCCATCTTGCTCCTCCCTTAAATAATGTTTTATATATTTAAAGAGCCTCAAATAATGATATATAATGAAGGCTAAATATGCAATCTTTACTAATATTATCACAGTTATTATTTGCAAGAAAAGTGCAATGCTTTGATCCATAAAATTCCTCCTATGTATCTTTGATATGAATACACATAATGTTTTTAACAGCTTTACTGGCATGTAACTTATGCACAACCTAGTTCACTCATTTTAAGTGAAGCTTTCAATGATTTTACTAAATCCATCCAATTTTAGAGGATTTTCATTACCTAAACAAGAACCCTCATGCCCATTTGTTATCAGTTCTGGCTCCTTCCCCCAGTTCTAAGCAACAACTAATCTTCTGCATCTAAGAACTACCTTTTATGGATATTTCATATAAAAGAAATCAGACAATATGTGGTCTTTTGCATCTGGCTTCTTTCATTTCACATAATATTTTTGAAGTTCACCCATATGAACTGCATGAATACCATATTCTTTTTTATTGCTGAGTAGCATCCCATTGTATGGACATAGCATGTATCGTTTAGCCATTCACCAGTTGATGGGCATTTAGATTGTTTTGAGTCTTTGGATATTAG